AATGCGTCCTGTTCCAGACGTCGATTTTGCATGTGTTGAATTCAATTCTGCTTGGGTGGGGCTCGCGAAAAAAGTCTGGAACGAAGTAAAAGAGAGACGCTGTTCTGAGTGGTTATATTATTACCATAAAAAACAAGCAGAAACTCGACGATTTGAGCGAAGGGCCTTCGTTCCCAATACAGTATGGGATCGAATATGTCGTTGCTTAATCATCACTAAATAAAGAATTGATGTCGATCTTTTTCAACTCCGCTGGAAAACATCGTCCTTAGACCTTTGCATGGACTATCTTTGAAATTCTAAATTGACGAAACTTTGATGTATGCTGTCCTTGAACAAGAACTTATTAAGTATTTTGTTTCGTTTACATATAGGACCTCAGTTTGTGCAAATTATTTTTGACACATTAATACTTTGTAACTAAACTTCTTAGATCTGTTTATGCTTATCGAAAAATGCACGTAACAGTTGTTTTGTGATTAAATGTGTGTATAATATTTTAACTGTGTCCAATTTACTTAAACTCTCTTTCAGTATATCACTGCAAGTAGTGTTAATGGATCAAATTCGCGTGTAGAACATAGGATGCATGGTAATAATTCAATGTTTTTTGTGTGCGCTTGTGTGAAAAATAGTCAATAGCCTGATCAGTTTATTTCATATACAAGCGAAAATAAAGTCGCGAACAAGAGCATTTTATGTACGGGACTACATAGTATTTTTTTCGTGCTTTAAATAGGACGAGCCACGGCTTATTTTGCTGGTATAGTCGTTTATTTTAAAAAGGCCCTACTTATGCTGTGTTTATTTTTAAGCGAATTATTGCTGATCATGTAAAGTAATCTTCGCTCTTGTTGTTTTATACGCTAAACCACAGGTTACAGTCGTGCCAATAGAAGCGTTCCAAAAAATGTTGACCAATTTATTTCCTATAAACTTGAAGGAACACCTCTGAACAATTCCTCAACAATTTGATAAGTTCCTTAAAAAGTTCCTAACTTCCTGTTTCATTGACCAATCAGATTGCTCAGAAATAAAATATAAAATTTGACTGTTCAATGAAACAGGAAGTTAGGAACTTTTTAAGGAACTTATCAAATTGTTGAGGAATTGTTCAGAGGTGTTCCTTCAAGTTAGGAAATGAATTGGTCAACATTTTTCGGAACGCTTCTATTGGCACGACTGTAAATATATGTCAATCTATTATTTAAAACTATCAAAGGGGCGTGTCTACAACGCTACAATTTCAAATTAAATGCATGCAAAATGCGACGTTTGATTGGTTTGAATCAAACCTTGAATTTCATTGAATTCGCTTGAATCAAATGCGAATTGTATTCGACACATGCAAAATTCGACGTTAGAACCGGCGACCGTTTGAACCATGCAAAATTCGACGTTTGAACCTATTAAATTCTACCGTCGGTTTTACTGTGCAGTAAACTACGAGATCACACTGCAGAGAGACTCAACGATGCAGACATATAATTCAAAGCTCTATGGTTTGTCCAAAAAGGACCTACTTGCTAGCCTCAGCTTTTTCAAAGAAGGAGTTACCAGGTTGTATATTCTCTCGAGACATCTGGTGAATCTCGTGATCAGCCCAGCACTTCAAAAGCACACTTAGAATACGAATCTGAAGTCGAAGGCGCAACAGCGACGAGGGTTGAGCAGTTTCCAGTTGCGCAATCTGCATGAACGCGATGCCCTTGAAAGCGCAATTGAACAACTTTCCAAAGTAATTGGGAACTTAAAAATCGCGTCGCAAGAACGCTACAAATCGGCCAAGGAGTCTTTTAAAGGAGCAAAAAAAACTAGCTGCAAATGCAAAACTACTTTGAATGTGTTTTAATTTTTATTGCGTAGGAAAATTCGCAACGAAATTTCTAGATGCTCTATTATAGCGGGTTTGGTTACATATATGCAACCTTAAAGTTGTAAATTAAGGTTACAACCGAAATTAAGGTTGCATATACGTAACCAAACCTATGATAGAGCATCTAGAAATTTCGTTGCGAATTTTCCTACGCAATAAAAATTAAAACACATTCAAAGTAGTTTTGCATTTGCAGCAAAAAAAACTAGCAACGGAACCATTTAATGGGCGTAGAAGATAGATATTAGGCAGGCAAACATCGCATTGCCAGCAGAACGTGAGAACACTGCATGGAATGTTTAGATGATCCAGAAGCAGCCGTTCAAAACTTTACACTACCTGAAAGAGTTACAGGATTTACCTGCAGTACAAACGATGTTTTCTCTGTGGCTAGAAGCTGGTGTAGGTAATCTAGGGATTACACCGTTTACCAGCTCGCTTCCACAAAGAGAAGAAGATTGTTAACATAGAGTCGATACAAATGATCAACGCATTATTGATAGATCTCACTATGAAATTTACAAACATCAAGATGGGTCTTTTTAACTGGCCAACGATAAAGACAGGCAAGGCATTTTATCATCGACGCACTTAAACGAAAAATTGAAGAGAACAAAACGCAGGTTCCTTGGTTGCGGAAGTGTTCAGTCTTCAGGGATTTTTGGTTCTAGTCTTTGCGCGCTAGCCAATAAAAGGGAAGCACTAGTGCTAACAAGATCAGATACTCTTGAGATCAACAAAGGATAAGCGGTGAAAGCAGGTTGTTTGGTACCATTCCTTCAGAAAAATATAGCGGCGTCCTGAACGAAATATGCTGTTTTGCTGTCGATGAAAATGATAACGTATACACGTGCATTGTCGTGGAATTCACGCCACGTTATGACAATGTTCCTCCTCGAAATAATTGGTAACCTTGGACACGAATGGCAATTTAAAAGAAGTCGACAGATTTCTTGATGTTATTGAGACACTAGAATATTTTCCACTAATGAAGTGTGACCAAAGATGGAACAATTGTTAACTGTAGTAGTAAGACGAACACTATATGTATATCTGCGGCAGCACAAACACCAGAAAAGCCTACAAATTTCTTCTGCCTTTTAAAGATGTAAATCCCGACGAGGCTACTGACTTTTGCTTTATTGTATCCAATAAAAACGAAATAGTTTGCACTTTTTTCAAACGTAAAGAACAAAAATTATTTTACATGTATATATTATTACAATGGATCTCTGACAATGGATGGTAAACTGAAACGTGTATTGCAAGTACCCATTACAATTCAATCAGGATTCACCCGTTACAATTCAATCAGGATGGATAAGTTGAGTGTATATATAGCCTTTAATAATGTCAACGAAACGATTTTTGTCAGTTTTCGAAGTGATGGTGATCATTCAATCAATTACCGTGGCAGTGGCGTACAAGGGTGGGTTCTATGGGTGGGTTCACTACAAAATTTTTGTAGTTCGCCATAACTACAGCTACTTCAAAAATATGTAGTCAGCTACAACTACTGCTACTTTTGAACAAAGGTAGTTCGCTACTGACTACAGCTACTGCTTAAAAAATGTAGCGAACTATTTCGCTATTTCGCTACGCTATCTTTTTTAGTTTTACTGTTTTTGGAGCATCTACTAACTCAGGCTGAAATGTAACCTATAACAAATCGACTTACGAGTAGCAACAGTAAACACAAAGCAACATGTTTGTAAGCACTACAGTGTTCAAGAGTGCAAATTGAGTATTGAGTATTGACTTTAAGCAAACCGTGTCTCAATATCATGCTATTCTATCAAGGTGCTAACGAATAGCGATTCGCTGTTTGAAAGGTAGTCAACTACTTGGCTACTTTTAGGCAAAATGTAGTTCGCTATAACTACAGCTACTGTTTTAAAAATGTAGTCAAAAACTACTGGCTACTTGAAAATTGTAGTTCGCTACGGTAGCGAACTGCAACTACTTCGCTACTACCCACCCTTGGTGGTGTAACGGAGGAAAATGGGGCCCTCAACCTCGTACCCAGGAAGGAGAGGCCCTGGGAACGAGGTTGTGGGGCCCTGAGGCATATTTGATGTGGGCAGGGTGACTCAATAGGCATTACCTGAACAATAAGCGACTGTAAACAGTGTGATTTAGACCTAAATGCTTTCTGCCAATCGTACAGGCCTAGGCTTGTTTACTTGAAGAAATAAACGCTTTTGACAAGCTCTTTGGTTAGTTATAGAACTACATGACTCGACGTTGATTACATAACATACGGTTATTCGGGTCATACGAAAAAATTCGTCAAAAATTCAATTCTAAGTTGCCCCAAAATATTATTTGATCAATAGCAAGCAAAAACATATTTCTTTGATCTGGTTATGAATTTTTTGTCTGAATCGATGTAACAATGGAGTTATTCGCTGCCTAATATGGCATATAATAAAGAGGTTCAAAAATAAAAAACATTAAGAAAATCTGTAAAATATTCACTTTTAACAGAAAGGTCTCTAAATTTCGTCTGCTACTCAATAAATAACTCTAATTTATAAAACGAAATCATATTTTGTGAAATATTCCCAGTATCGTGCAAAATAGAGCGATTTTGGTAGTGCCGTAAAATGACTTCTAAAAACCGAAAGTGGCCTGGGAAAACCAATTTCGACGTCTCTCTCCTTCAATATTTATCCGATCGAAATAAAACTTTCACAACATATTAACTTCATATAGGCCTACATTATGACAAAGTTTGAAAGATTTTGATTTTTTTCATTTTACACGTCTTAATACCTGACTATTACAAACAACCGCTCTTAAGGATTTGGGGGGAAAACTAAAGAAATAAGAGTCTGTTTTAAACAAATACTTTTATTAATTAAACATCAATATGAAATATTTTAATGTGGTTAAATATATTTAAGCAAGGTTAACGGCGGATGTATTATGCAGGCTACATCCGCTGAGGGGAGTCCGTGACGTCATATCGATCAAAGGGGTTGTTTCGCGCCTTGTGATCATTGCTTTGGTCAAAGGTGCTTTGGTCTGGGTATTCATTCTGCCATTGTATGCTTTGCCTAGTTGCAGCAAGTTTTAGCGCCTCGTTACTTTTTCTCTGTTGTTACATTATTTTGCTTGCGTTATGCCTCGTCTAACCAGAAATAGTCGAGAATCTGGACCCGTCTTTCCGGGCGTTGTTAGTTCGGAGCAGTCTAGCTCGGAATCGCGTACATCTATTGGCGCTACATCTAGCGCATCTACGACCACAAACACCGTGGTTCAGTCGGGAACGAGTACGATGCCAGCATTGTCGACCGGGGATATTGTTACCAATGTAGTCCAAGTATTACAAGGTCAACTAACCAGCCTGGTACAGAATGCCATTGACGCCCAGCTATCTTCGTCGGCAAGTGGTAGTTCAGTCGCAAATTGCGAGGTATCGTCGCAGGCACAACTCTCTACAGTCACATCCCGTACAGCGTCCTTCGTGCATAACCTTGCGACCAGCGCGGGGAATTTTTCGACTTTGGGTTCAGCGCCATTTCGATCGTCGGCTACGAGTGAGGCAAGTACCGGTATGCCACGTATGGTGAGTTGTTTGGCGAATTCAACAGGTAGGATCATTCCAAACTTTTTAAATACGTTTACTGCTCCTATCAGCTCAAGTGTGTGGTCTTCGGGAGGTGGTTATAGTACCCCCGAGGTTGCCTTAGCATCGCAACCTTCAGTTGTGCCTTCGATGGTTATTCTAGCGCAGAACAATTGTTACCCCAGTCTCTTCATGGTCATGGCCCTTCCCCGTTTATCGTGGGTCCAGGTTACGCTCCCATCTCGGCTAAAATTGTTAATGCCATTGTGTCAGGGAAGTACATTAATCTTGGGGACCTACTTCCGGAAAATGCGCTGGTTGTGGACGATTTTAGCGAACCACAGTTATTGTTAGACGGCCGTCTAGTGTTAACGGGTTCTGCGCGAAAGCCTCGGAAAGAAATAACCGATATCTTGTCTTGGGTGGAAGCCTTCACAGTCTTCAGCGTGATTGTCTGTTCGTACTTTCCGAACCGATGGCGTGATTTGTCATCGTACAAGCTTTTAATTTTGCGCACGTATCGTCAGTTTGCTGGTTATGCATGGTGTGATTACGATAAAGCGTTTAGACAACACGCTGCTGCTACCAGGCTCTTGGACTGGTCGGAACTTAATGTGCAGCTTTTTAATTTCCACACGGCTGGTTCGGCCTATAGAGGTCCCAACAGACTTACTACAGCGTCTAGTAGTTCTCGTTCCGAGCCTAATGGTAATCGTAACCATGACTGTTCGGTCAAGTGTTTCTCGTGGAACAAGGGACGGTGCGTAGCACCTTCGGCAGTTTGTCGCTACAAACATGCGTGTACGTTGTGTTCCGCTGCACATCGTGAGATCGAGTGCCCATCAGTCTCTGCTGCTTCAAATCCGCCATTTTATTCTGGCTCAAATGGACCCGTTGGGGTTAACAAAAAGCGTCGGTTATAATTATGCTTGACGTTGCTTGCAATGAGTGTTTTTTTTGCAATGTTTGACAGTATTTGCGAGTGTGGTTTCGTTAATGTTACTTTCCAAGACTATATACTAAGTAGATATATATTAGATATATAGATATTTATGTAGATGTATGAACAGGCTAAATACTAGTCTAAACTCTAAATGTCTGCATAGGAAATTGCTTGCGTTTAGGAATTTTCTATTTTCCGTTCTGGAAGATAGGTAGGTTATTACAGTTGATAATCCGTGATGTTAACCTTCAGGTTGTCAAAGATAGGAAATACCTTAAATATCGGAAGACTGTGTGATATAGATAACCTTTTAGAAGGGGTTATTAACACACCTCAGGCCAATGTTCACTCATAGTTAAAAATATTCACTTCACATACAGTTTCGATTGCTCTCACCGGTGTTGAGGCAAACCGTTTTCATTAGTTGAGCATGGTTAGCGCTGGCAATTCTGTCGGCGATGCGTTTCGGACGGATGCGAATGAGTAAACTAGCACATGTCATTCATTCGATTGCATTTGCCAGGGGGGAGGGGGAGTCGCCGGTGGAATTGCTAGTGTGAACCTGGCTTCTGTCAATACATATTCCACGATTGTTATGTTGAATGTTATAAGCTGAATCTTGGCCCCAGCCAGACTTTAGCCTTTTTTCCTTTTGCATTGTTTGTAGCTGCCGAATTTGAGGGCCACAAGTTATTAGCTGTTAGCTATTATGTATATATTACCCATTTTGAAATAAAGATTGTACTTTACTTTAACCCATGAACGTGTCATTTCTTCACCGTGTTAATTAATAGGCTCAAGCCGGTAATACGGGTATGGGAAGTATTGTCGGCAGATATTAAAGTTATGATTAGAATATAAAGATTTTTAGATATGTACATTTGGAGTTACGTTGTTGGTATTTGTGGCTTTTAATCATTCCGGAGGTTTATCTCACGTGTTGCAGGCTGCAGGGCGTAAATGCGTACCCCCCCGTTTGTGTCTGGTGTCGCTTTTCTTTTGTTTGACATGCAGTCCGAATGTGCCTGTGACCATGGGTAGTTAATTAAACATTGTTTGCAGTCTGTTATCGCATGCCTGGTTGCTTTGTGTTTTGTGCGTGAGATGTGGCGCTTGTTTTTGTTTTTGTTGTTTTGGGGTTTTTTTTTTTTTTTTGGGAGGGGGTCCCCATCTGCTTTGCCCCAAAGAATGATGAGGATTGTTGTTGTTGTTATTGTTAGTGTGCCCATCAGGCTCTAGCACTACCAATGTATATATATGCCCAGGGCGTTTTTTCTGGGCAGGCCTATGTGTACGCGCTATACTGCTGCCGCTTTCACGGTTTTAATCGGTCCTTTGTCATTAGGTTACAATCGCTTGGGGGGGGGGGGGCATCTTACATGGTTTTGATCCTCTAACCGTTGTTAGTCGGGTCAACCTGGTAAATGGCGTTTAATTCTAGATTTGTCATCTCCACACGGCTTCAGCGTTAACGATAGTATTGACCCGGATCAATTTTCCCTACAGTACATCAAATTTGACGATGTCGTCGCAATGGTGGCCAAACTTGGCAGGGGTGCTTTGATGGCAAAGTTTGACGTTCAAAGCGCATACCGCAATGTGGCTGTTCTACCCTCCCAACGCTACCTGCTTGGCATGAAGTGGCGGGGGAAGTTTTATGTTGACCTGGTATTACCTTTTGGTTTACGTTCGGCACCGTTCATTTTTAATTCGATAGCGAATCTCGTAGAATGGATTCTGCTTAACAATTACATGATACGGGACCTCTTGCATTACCTCGACGATTACATAACCGCTGGCCCCCCTTGCCGTCCCGATTGCGCACGGAATTTAGTCGTCGCGTCCTCGGTGTGCCAGAGTTTAGGCCTACCATTGCATCCGGACAAAACCGTGGGTCCAACTACGTGCTTGATCGTCCTGGGTATTGAACTTGATTCTGTGCTACAAATCGCGCGTCTTCCCGCCACCAAATTACTAGCTCTCAAGGGTCTTTTCACGGAATGGAGCGCGAGGAAGTGGTGTACACGCGTACAATTGGAGTCGCTGATAGGCAAACTCCATCATGCTTGCGTCGTTGTTTGGCCCGGTCGTACGTTTCTCCGTCGGATGGTTAATTTGCTGTGCGCGTTTCGGAGCCGTGATCATCCAATCCGACTTAATGTCGAATTCCGTTTAGATCTCCAGTGGTGGATCGAGTTTCTAGACGATTGGAACGGGACAAGTTTCATCCTGCTCCCAGGTCTCATGCCCGTGGCGGACTTATGTGTTACATCCGATGCTGCTGGCGCTATCGGGTACGGTGCATTATATCACCAACAATGGTTCAGCCATAAATGGATGCCCTCTCAAATGCCAATGTCGATTGCCTACAAAGAGTTCTTTCCAGTCGTTATTGCCGCTCATCTCTGGGGTGATCAGTGGGCCCACCAACGGGTTTGCTTTCGTTTGGACAACTCTTCCGTGGTCCACATTTTAAATGCGCGTACCTCTCGGGATCACCACATTATGGGTTTAGTACGTTCGCTCCTTAGTGTAGCTGCCCGGTTTAACTTTACTTTCCAAGCCCAGCACATCCCTGGTCTAGCTAACCCCGTGGCTGACGCGCTGTCTCGTTTTCGTTGGCAGGTGTTCAAACAACTAGCTCCGGATTCCTCAGCAACGCCCACGCCTATTCCAAAAGAGATCCTACAGCGGCTGGCTCCCACCAATTAGAGGCCCAGTGCCAACGTTACCTACAACAGGGTTTAGCGTCGTCAACCCAAAGGACCTATTCGTCAGCCCAACGCGCCTTCTTACGTTTTTGTGAAGGAGCTAATCTAATGAACTCGCGTGGTTCTCCTTTGCCTGCTGAAGAATGGACCCTTTGCCTGTTTGCGACATGGCTGGCCGACGATTTAAAATCAGCGTCGATTAAAGTGTATTTGTCTGCCGTTCGAGCTCTTCACATAGAACAGGGTTTGCCAGATCCGTTGAGTGGTTGCTTACGTCTACAACGAGTTTTAAAGGGCATTAAACGCTGTCAAGGTTCTTCCTCTGACAAGAGACTCCCAGTCACCCCAGCAATCCTCCGTGCTATCTACAGTCATCTCGATCTCTCACAGTATGATGACGTTATGTTTTGGGCGGCCTGCTGTCTAGCCTATTTCGGGTTCTTACGTTCATCCGAATTTACTGTCCCGAATGGTGCCACGTTCTCGCAAGCCTTACATCTCTCCGTCCACGACATCGCTGCTGACCAACGGGTGGCTCCTTCTAGGATCCAAGTGAACATTAAAGTGTCCAAAACTGATCCTTTCCGTCAAGGTTGTATCCTCACGTTGGGACAAGGCCGCTCCCCTTTGTGCCCGGTGGAAGCGATGCTGAATTTCCTGGAACTACGGGGCGGCTCGGCTGGTCCATTGTTCGTTAGGTCAAATGGTGTTCCTTTGACTAGGACCTATTTATCGGAACGGTTACGTCGGTTGCTAAGCGATGCGGGAATTCCTGGCAATTTTAGCAGTCACAGTTTTCGCATTGGTGCTGCAACGTCCGCCGCTTTGGCAGGTGTTCCCGATCACCTGATCCAAACATTAGGACGGTGGTCCAGCTCCGCGTACTTGACATACATTCGGACACCACGTAGCTTGTTATCCAATTTAACGAAGAGTTTATGTTAAAAAATAATATATATTTTATTCCCGTTGCAGTCAGTTGCGTGTATTTCTGGTAATTTTAGTACAGATATAATTTAACGTCTCTGAGCGCGTGTAGTGGGTGCCATAGTTTGTGGTCAGTTCTTGGAGATAAGTGCACATGACAATTTGCCATGGCACTTCCTCTTCAAGTTCATATTGGAACTACATGGTCGTTTTATTCATACTGGAGCTATGAATGTTGTTGAATTCATACTGGAGCTATGAATGTTGTTGAATTCATACTGGAGCTATGAATGTTGTTGAATTCATACTGGAGCTATGAATGTTGCTTAATTCATACTGGAGCTATGGATGTTGTTTAATTCATACTGGAGCTATGAATGTTGCTTAAGTCATACTGGAGCTATGAATGTTGTTTAATTCATACTAGAGCTATGAATGTTGCTTAAGTCATACTGGAGCTATGAATGTTGTTTAATTAAAAATTAAACGAGACTTACCTGGTAAGTTGAAGTTTGATTGGAATTCTACAAGTCATCAGTCAGGAACGGAGGAATTACATGAGAGAGCGCGCGCGAGCTATCTAGGCAATATTCAACGTAATCGTGAGTGTGAACAGGAGCATGGAACGGAGGAATTGGGACGGGAGGGAATCAGCTTGCCTGATCCAGGGCATGTAATTCCTCCGTTCCTGACTGATGACTTGTAGAATTCCAATCAAACTTCAACTTACCAGGTAAGTCTCGTTTAATTTTTAATTCTACTACGTCATCAGTCTACGTCACTACGGAATTACATGAGATTTCAAAGTCCTGTTCACACACACGCCAATGAGTAGATCGGTCAATGGTTTACGAAGTAACTAAACCATGATATCATCTACTAACAAACGATCCGACATGATCACATCTGCGCAAGGGCAGATACAAAAAAGGGAATCATTTGATTGTGAGGTTGGGCTAACCTCTTCTGTCTACAAGAAATGCTAGTAGTAGTAGACTCCAAATAAATAAAGGTAAAGATAATTTCCTCATGATTCTTTTTAAATTCCCTTAAATTAAATGCATTGCCATCAAGAAGCAATGAACAATTGTTGCCATAAGATTGCAAACCCGTACCCAGGCTGTTCCCTGGTACCGATACGACTCACAATTCCTTTACCATAAGACGGAATTTTTCTTTGTATTAAGCATACAGCCTGCAGTGTATCTCTAGGCTGTCATAAAGCCAAAAGTTTCCAATATAAGTGCCATTGGCATCGAGGAGTTTATAACTCAAAGACGAAAGAACTTTTATACTCTTCCTGAATTGAAAACCTGGTTGCAGTAACTTACACTAATTTTGAAATGAATATTTTTTCTGATGTCACACGACATCTTTGCAAATTATATATAAGGTCATTACAGTATCATCAGACCGTTATGCAATAAACGCTGAACTGACCATTGAAACCTCAGCGTTGACTAATATCACGTAACCAACACAGCAAATATCACTGATTATTAGATTACATTGATATCGAAGGAACTAGACTCAGTTCCATACTCGAACCAACCTGACCGCGTAGCTCAATTGGCAGAGGATTGGGCTAGTATTCCAAAGGTCGTAGGTTCGATTCCCACCGTGGCCATGCAGGCATATTTTTCAAGCCTGCCCAATGTCTCACAGTAACATCACAAGCATCATGAAACTGATATAAGGATTAAGGGTTCTATATGACACAAATTAATGTATATATAGTTAAGCAAAAATATGCATTTGTTCCATAGCTCCGTCGTTATTATAAATCAGAAGCTGATGATAGATAGAAATAATTCTGTACAATGAAAAGGAAGACAAATGTGCCCAAATAGGTAATGATTAGTACATTATGATTCTGAGTGCATGATTCATATAACATCAATGTTCTATAAGTCTAGCAATTTCAAATACATATGTCATATATTGAATATTATCACCCCTCTCAATATTATGGTCCCATGGCCAATATGTGTACTGAAGTCTGTGTAATAATTAAGTGTAGTATGCCGCTCGCTGCCGATGGCATTTGGACATACAGTCATACCGTTAAAGGCCATAAGGCTTCGAAGTGAAGGCGGTGAGCATATAGTCATAACCACAACTATTTGTATTTGGAGAGTATATTCCTTAATATTTCTGTGGACGAAATATGTGTTAAATACATTGTATGTGCACAAGAAATTCGCCAAAAAGGACTGGTTGATCAGTGTTGTTCTGTGACTGTGTGGGGTATCATAGAAACGTTTACATCCGAAACTTACAATAGGTGAAGGGAAAAGATCTTGGGCCGTTACAACAGTAACAAACTAACATTATTGTAGAGATATCCTGTTGAAACAATCAGGGGACATTGTTATTGGCTTCAATTGCATATTAACGCGAGAATCAAAGCAACATTCGAAAATAAATTTCGGTCAGTTGCATGTTTTCCTGAGTCAGGGTGCATGGTATATTGGTCCGCAAAGTTTCTCGCTGTGCCCTTTCTACATACATTTACATGGTAACCACATGACTGACAAGAATTGTCCCTTGTATTGAATTCCTCTTATTTTATTATAGCCATATGCAATGCCAATGGGGTTAAATAGCCAGTAAATATAACATGCATATTGCATTCGAGTAACAGCCGGTTCGTCAGTTTTGAATTTTGTAACTGTTATTGTTGTTATCAGACCATTTAAAATTCATCATAACCATTACTCATTAGCACGTATACCGACGGTATAGTCGAGTTTACCAAGACTGAATAGTATCGCATCACAGGCATTGCTATTTGGTAATTGGTCTTTGTATTGTCCTGTGAAGGAATGAATGTCATTCTATAAATGCAATGTTTGTCCTGCAGTCCAGAACAACAGTGATTGCAGCAGATGGACTATGTCTATTATATATGACATATGTACAAGGTGTTTAGCCTATGGCTATGCCATGTTAAACAGATAATGATTCACAAAATAGGATAGTGCAACTTCCCAATGCCAATGGTGTGTTGTTATTGTTATTGTTATATGAAACATTGTCATTGAGTACCAGACCGCTCTACTGTTCCAGTCTGGCCTGATTTGTTTGGCTTGAAGCGGAGATTGGGTATATTTCCATACATAATGACCAGTGAATATTCTACACTGCTGTTCTTAAATTCAAGGCATAGCAAATTACTAATCTTTATACTTTAATACAAATTGCTTTGGCTATACAAAAAGCCCCCAAGAGGTTAAGATAATGTCCAATTTTGTTCTCAGGGAACAAGATTAGCCTCCATGCAGATTTGCAGACATTAACCACACCTTCAATTCTAATCAGGAATTGAAATCTGATCCCAGTAATGCTAATGCATGGTTAAATAAGCAGGTACAAACTGTACAATTCAGTAAATTTCTCATTGGCCTGGTCAAGTTGTTTGTTTCATGTTCAAAACATAGCCACTGCCCCACTGGCATCGATTAGCATTTCAGATTTTCACTGCCAGTATTCCCACTTGGGAAAAAGATAATAACCTACTTCAGTCTAGTGACTAATCAAGTTACTATACTGAGATAGTAAAAAGGGGCTATAATTGCTATAGCATGCATGATGTATACTATTCCCACAAACTGTACCAAGCTGTACAGTGACAGCATTTATGCCAGAAGTGAGCAGTTGATATACCAGCCAATACCAAAATTACTGATATTATCAGTAAACTAGGCTGACTAGCTTTAGTCTTGCCGTGGAAGAACAATTGGAATGAACATTGTACTATTGTGTTCACATTCAAATGAGCGAATATTCATTGTAGGTTGTAGTGCTACATGTCATGTGATAGCCATCACCCCTGCTGTTGTTGTATCACAGGAAGTGACCAATCAAGTTAAAACTGGTCTGCATTCAGGTCTAGTTTCAACGGTTTTGCTGGCATTTAGCTATGCTATTATATTTATTGTATCACACAAGATAAAACTTTAAAAAGTTTCACAGTTGTTTATTTCTTCAGCGTGGTTCTCGTAACATGTACTGATGTACTTCCATGTTTAAATCTCGTGCGTAGCACGTGAATAAATTACTGGCAATTTCCCGCCAAGTAAACAAAGTAAAATGTTCGCCCAGGATAAACTCGAGTATAAAGTATTATAAAAGTGCAAATAAAATGTCGTTCAATCTGAACGCTTTGCAGCAATAAACGACATTATAATATTATTGTAGATTTCATTAGGTAAAGCACAGTGGGTAAAGACTAAAGTGATCATTTAACGTATGTTTTTGTATATACATGCCATGGACTATATCCACACGGCACACGCCACAATTCACAAATGACATTTTTATGTCGTTGACATTGGAAAAATCCAATCAGTTTCTGCGTTACAGTTGTGTGCAATAAAATAATGGACTAGCTTCCTAGCTGTGTGAAAAAGCATTAGCTTTTCGGTCCAATAAGCACAATATTGTCTGCTATAATTGTGGACATGCATGCCATGAGGCATGCATGACCTTGACGTGGCGCCCATGCAGCACAACAATGGCGTCTCTCGGTACTTTCCCAAGTTGCTGAAGCAACAATGTGGTCGTTGACCATGTGTACCTTTTGCCTTTACTCGTTAGGCTTTGGACAGGGTAGTTGGCGTCCTGTTTCTTGGTTTTATAGGCCTTTCCACAGCCATTGCCTTCTTGCTTCATTCCCCGTTTAATTGGCTTTGTATGGCCGTTGTTGGCCTCGTCAGATATTTTGCCCGTTGGGCTTTATATGGGCGTTGGCCTCATATGCCTTAATAAGGCTTTAGTTTCACTTGCTCATCTTAGGAGCGGTCTGTATAGACCATAGGTAGCTTTTCCCCATTGTGGGTGTACTGGGTTGCTTGTATTTGCCGCTCAACTCTGGAGCACAAGCGTGAATTTTGTTTGTGGCTGCCCGCCATTGCAGGTCATCATTTATATATTTATTGCCCATTTGATTCGTTTTTCCCTAAACGAGAATAAGAAACAAAACAACAAAATAGCAAAATAACAAAACAATATA